TTCTAGCCCTGCCTCTTTCCAGACTTGAGTACGCAAGCAAGCAGGCAAAGCAACTGCACCCCGCACAAACCATAGATGTCTACCTGGGTAGACAAAGCCTTCGTTTAAGCCATCGGACCTGCCGTGGCCAATCAACGACCTCATCACTGGGTCGTTCCCCACCTTGCGCCTGACTCGTGTCGTCAGGGAAATAGGAGTCTGCTGAGTCATTCTAAGTAGAATCACGTGGTTCGCTTTCGCCCTTGATTGATTATCACCTGATCTGTTTAGTAGCCTCAGGCATTAGTGATAGCATGTTGGTGATCCTTACCGCCTGCATCATAGGTACCTAGCTTATCATGAGGGTTGAGTGGTCATCAGATCGACCAGCCATGCATGGTCAAACGACCATCGTGGAAACACAGTGCTAACATTCCTTCAATTCTCCGCACAAGCTGCAGATAGGAGCTTGTTGGACTTCTGCAATACTCATTTTGATACAGAGAGTCTTTACGATTTGCCTGTTTACCGTTCTTTGTGCAGCAGACGCACCTGGCATTGCTTCTCGAATGGCCCATGACTGATCCAGGCTCTCGGCTAACAAGTCGCTGCCATGTGCTGAACTTACAGGATATTTACGCATCTGCCTTTTCGATTCCATGTCTACACTTTTACAACCAAGATGATGACATCGAATATCTTATCCCGGTTCCTTCCTCCGAACGGCTCACCGTCTGTATACGAGACGATTCGACATCACGATACGACATCAGATTCATCGGATGTGGAGGAACGCGCGGGATTAACTCTGGAGGACGGTCCTGGAGAGCATTATAGTGATCGTGAACTCGAGGACGCCATGGCCGACGCCGAGCGGAGCAGGTTGCCGGACGCGGATGATGCCTTCATAAGTAGGAAGAGTCCTCGGAAAGCGTCTGTCGCGGGACCGTCCAAGTCAAATTCTCGTCATCGCCAACGTAGTCGTCCGCGGTGGACACAAGCTGCCTCACCAGATCACGACTTCGAGGATGGCGATGATGATGTTCCAGCTTCCCTTCTCGTAGAAGGGCATCAAGACGACGACGATCTTAGATCTCGGTTGCCTCCTCCTCCTACTTCCCACCTCACTCCCGACGATAGACAGCCCTCTCTTCCCGGACCTTCAACCCGCGGTGATCGAGCTCGCTGGAGAGCAGCCAGAGAACAACAGCCGCTACACCATGCCGATCGAAGGCGCGCCCCTGGTGTACGATGGTCGTTAGGGCAGCCCAACTTGAACACGGTGGATCCGAAGGAGAAAGCGATGTGGATGTGGGCAAATGTTGAAAATTTGGACAACTTCCTAAAGGACGTTTACACGTATTTTCTCGGGAACGGGATCTGGTCCATTCTGTTGAACCGAGTTCTGAGCCTGTTGTAAGTGGCTACGTGCTTTCACTCTCACCTGTTTATGTTATGCATTCTGACAGAGCACCGGTGCCGCCGTAGAACATTTGCATTTGTTATAGGATTCAGCACATTTCTCACGAATTGCATTGACTACCACAAGGTTCGTGGGAGCAAGACATTGAACGATATCTTGATCGAGCAATGTACTACCAAGATGTCACTGTCGTCCACCTTTCTGCTCTGGTTACTCACGCTGTTCTGGATTGGAAAGGCCTTCCAGTGCCTGTTGGATATCAGAAGGCTGAAACACATGCATGACTTCTACTATTACTTACTTGGAGTCTCTGATACCGACATCCAAACTATATCATGGCAAGAGATTGTCAGTCGACTCATGACCCTCAGGGACGCCAATCCCGCGACGGCCGGTGCGGTGTCTGCGAGACACCGTAAATTTATGGGCAGTCAGTCTAAGCAGCGAATGGATGCTCACGACATTGCCAATCGACTGATGCGCAAGGAAAATTATCTTATCGCCTTGATCAACAAAGACATATTAGACTTGACGCTTCCCATCCCGTTTCTCAGAAACAGGCAACTGTTTTCTCAGACCCTGGAGTGGAATATCAACCTATGTATAATGGACTATGTCTTTAACGAACAAGGCCAAGTTCGGACTCTGTTCTTGAAGGACACTCATCGAAAGGCGCTGAGCGAGGGCCTGCGACGACGGTTTATCTTCGCGGGCATTATGAATATATTCGTAGCGCCATTTATTGTCGTCTATTTTATGATGCATTATTTCTTTCGTTATTTCAACGAATACAAGAAGAACCCTTCTCAGATCGGCTCACGCCAATATACCCCGCTGGCGGAATGGAAATTTCGTGAATTTAATGAACTCTGGCACCTCTTCGAACGCCGAATTAATATGTCCTATCCTTTTGCTAGTCGCTATGTGGACCAGTTCCCCAAAGATAAGACGGTGCAGATCGCAGGTTTCGTGGCGTTTGTGTCGGGCGCACTGGCGTCTGTATTGGCTCTGGCATCGATCGTGGATCCGGAACTGTTTTTGGGATTCGAAATCACGCACGACCGAACAGTTCTTTTCTACCTTGGAGTATTTGGGTCTGTCTGGGCTGTTGCCCGAGGCCTCGTTCCGGAAGAGACAACTGTCTTCGATCCGGAATATGCTTTACTTGAAGTGATCAACTATACACATTATGCTCCAAGTCATTGGAAAGGGCGACTGCATAGTGACGAAGTCCGGAGGGAGTTCGCGGAGCTTTACCAGATGAAAATCGTGATCTTTCTGGAGGAGATCCTTAGCATGATATTTACACCTTTTATTCTCTGGTTTAACTTACCCAAATGCAGTGATCGTCTGATCGACTTCTTTCGGGAGTTCACCGTTCATGTGGATGGGATGGGGTACCTTTGTTCATTTGCTGTATTCGATTTCAAGAAGGGAACCAATGCGATCACCCAGGGAGATCGACGAGACACGGCGAGGCAAGATCTCCGGGCCGATTATTTCTCTACCAAAGATGGCAAAATGTTGGCCTCATACTACGGATTCTTGGATAACTACGGTGCCAATCATCGCGGCAGCCATCCTTCTACTAGACGACAATTTCATCCTCCGCCCGCCTTTCCTACTCTTGGATCACCACCAGCGGGCGAGATGGGAACTATCGGCGACCGGCTCGATCAGGCCCAGACTCGGCACGGTCTGGCAGGCCCTTTCATGGGCCAACAATCTGTATTTGGACCGTCTCGCTACGGTCCGACTGGTCTAGGTGACCATGGATCACCTGCTCCTTCAATACTCCTGGATCCGCATCACCAGCCATCAACTTCAGGGTTTCGAGGGGCGAGCCGCGCACCAGCCTTTCCACGGTACAGATCATCGCGGGCGCAACCTCCCGTATCAGGGACAATAGCGGACGGCGATGAGTCGCCAGTAGCCACGGGACGCAGCGACCCGTCAAGACCGGCTCCTAATGCCGCTGGAGGATCAAGTGCGGGTGGTGTAGGCACTAGCGACAGCAACCTGGGGGACTCGTGGCGGATGAACTTGACGGAAGACGTGGATGATGACAACACAGGAGAGGGCGGAGAGAATGTTGACGCTATTGCTGGGGGTGCCGGCGTTTTGGGCTTGATCCAACAATTCCAGAGGGTAAACAAGGACAGTCGAGGACGCACAGCGGTTGGTTTATAGACATTTGCATGCAATTTGAGAAAGGGTAGAATTTTATCATTTATTTGGTTGTCAATGCTAGTGATATTCTTCCAGCGTCTTAGATTTATCTGACTCGGATTGCTTGCAAAGTGGTCCGTCTGTAGTACGCTATAGGCGACACATGCATGAACGTGCAGTTCTAAAGTAAACAGTTATACCAAAAAGTACCAAGTATGAGCAATACTGGCATCGATCATCAGCCACCTAGTATTATTCGGTCAGTCGTCAATTGTTCAAGTACTCCATAGATACTTTGGACACGGATGATATCCACAGGCACAATCCTTGTAATGGTTTAATGCAAATTACCCCTGGATAAAAATAGAAATATAGAAACAGACGAATCATGATTCATGAAGGACTGAAGGACCCATCTGGCAACGATCATTAATATCTCTTTTCGGTAGTCGGTGATGGGTCAAATAAAAATGAGCATTGAGGATTGGTACTCTGTAAAACTATCGGATCACAACTTCGTTGCAGAGATGAATTCTATAACCATACTCTGTAAGTGAAGACAATATGGTGGACTTGATTATTATTATGTACCTCTCTAGTCTACCATATCCATCTTTGATGGCTCTGTATTATCGTAGGACCACCCCAGTCGTAGATAGACGTAAAAGGCTGGGATCATCGGATCTGGATCCATCCATTTGGGCAGCATCCATGGCTAATCTCGCCCATTCCACTCAGTCGAAAAGTCTGGACTCCGACCGCTGATTCTTTTGGGATGTTGATCCGGGGTCCTCGCGATGTAGGATCTCATATCACGGACACAGAAAGGCGTCCAAGGGTAGATGTTGAGGGAGAGCGAAAGCACTCAAGGAGACTACAGTCTGATCCATCATTGTCTGCAAGTAGTGGAATAGACCAGATACTCCGAGGATTGGACATCTTTGCTTTAAATTTCCGTCAACCTAGTGTGTCTGACTTTGGCCCTATATGTGGGCGGTTTCTTGGCTGCTACATCCGTTGGTTTCGCTTCTTTTGCACCCTCCTTGCTTCTAGTCTAGTCTATCGTTTCTTGATTCTTAGGCGAGAGCTGATATTCGGAGGATTGTCATGACATTAATTGATGTGAATGTGATATGATCATTTCGACGGTTCCACCCCGAGAGAGTCTGCTTACGGTTTCTATTCTGCTGTTCGACCTCAGAGAGGAGTATAATGATTGACCTTTACGGCTCGGTTCCTCCAGCCTCTCGCTCAGTTTGTTGATTTGTTTATTCTTGTGAAATTTCTTTTTCTTCTGGCTCCAAGGCCTTTTCTTGGTGTCTCGTGATCGCATCCATTATTCCTGTCACTCTTTTATCCCTCTTGTATTGAGATTTGATTTTCCTTAATCTTCGTTGCGTCGCCTCACCGTCGCTATCAGTTGCCCGCCATGTTTCGAGCCCGTCGCTATCGAGTCTCGCTGGTTTTTGCAGTCATCTTCGTGCTGATCTTCGTTCATTTCTCCCGATCCCGCGATACATCCGCAAGTACTGTGAGCATCCCCGCGCCTGTCGATCAGCCCAAGACCTACCCTCAAAGTCCACCCCCTGCTGCCCCCAACAACAAAGAACCCATCGCACCCGAATCTTCCACCTCCCATGAGTCCACCTCCGAGTCAGTTTCTCCCCCGGCTCAGCAAGTCGAGAAGCCCGCTGCTCCCGACTCGAAACCCCCGCAGGGTCTTGAATCCGATGCGCATGGTCAAGCATCGTCCAAGGATGGTTCGGTCGCCGGTCAGACCAAAACATCATCCAGTGACAATGGATCTGCCAACGGAGACGGTTTAGAAGTAGCCCCATCCGAATTGGACTATCACGGCCACGCACGGCTCGAGGTGGACCTTCCCGAAACGAATCGACCTACCTTGCACTGGAAGCAGGTGCAAGAACATTATCCTCTGGCGCCCGAAGACCTCATCAAATTGCCGACCGGTAAATCCAAGGCACTGCCGAGAGTGCAGGCTGTTTTCAGAGATGAGACGACCTCCGACAAGATACAGCGGGTGCAGCGGCTGTCGACCGTCAAGGCGGCCTTTGAACATGCCTGGAATGGATACAAGACTTCTGCGATGGGACATGACGAGATCAAACCTCTGCGGGGCGGGTTCAAAGACCCGTTCATGGGATGGGCAGCCACGCTGGTGGACTCCTTGGATACTCTTTGGATCATGGACCTTAAGGACGAGTTCGCCATTGCCGTTGATCAGGTGAAGAAGATCGACTTCACAACTAGCAAGAGGGACGAGATTCCTGTATTTGAAACGGTCATCCGCTATCTTGGAGGATTGCTCGGTGCTTATGATATTTCGGGTCACAAACACGACGTACTCCTCGAGAAAGCCGTTGAGCTGGCGGACATCGTGATGGGTGCTTTTGATACTCCTAATCGCATGCCGACCATGTTCTACAAATGGACCCCGTAAGGCCTCACTTTGCAATCGTCCAAGTGTATTGAAGACTGACTGATAGGTGAAACGACAGGCACGATGCCGCTAAACCTCATCTAGCTGATTTTGACACGACCCTTGCGGAAATAGGCTCGCTCTCCGTCGAGTTCACTCGACTGGCACAATTGACTAAGCAAGACAAATACTACGATGCCATTGCACGGATCACCAACGAGCTCGAGAAACTGCAGGGTCAAACCATGCTCCCTGGTCTGTGGCCGCTCAAAATTGATGCTTCTGGTTGCAGGACTGCCGCCTCACAGCTCAATTACGAGGTCCCTCGCAATGATGTGGTGGATACCGAGACGTCTACCTTATCGTCTGCAGCTCTGCATTCGCCCGCATTCTCCTCTGCAGCTCCCTCCGCATCTCCCTCCGCACCTTCTTCCGCATCTTCGTCCACGCCTCCCTTACCTTCCCCCACGCATACACCTTCCCTAGCGCAAAACGAACGGCCGTTGCCAACAGACGCACAGACCTACGCCAAATTCTTTGATCGGCGCGATGGTGGTAGCTTACATATCGACGCGGAGCCGGCGAACTATGACGACGCCCCGAACGAAGGCGCGAATTCTGCAGTTTCTGGTGACTCTGGTGATAAGGCCTGCACAGGAGGTCTCGCCGCGTCGCCCTCCTCGAAACACAAGTTCGGGCTCGGGGCCCGCGGCGATTCAACCTATGAGTACCTTCCCAAGGAGTACATGATCTTGGGCGGTCTCAACGAGCAATACCCCGCAATGTACGAGAAAGCCATGAACGCAACTCGCGAACATCTCCTCTTTCAGCCCATGGTTAAAGACGAGCGTGATATCCGATTCTTGAGCACCATGACCCTGACGCACCCTATAGCGGAACAGGTCCCTGACAGTGTCTCTGTGACCTACGAGGGAACTCATCTGGGCTGCTTTGCGGGTGGGATGTTTGCTCTTGGTGCCAAACTATTTGGTATTGAGGGGGATCTGGACCTCGCTGCTAAACTGACCAATGCGTGTATTTGGGCTTATGGGGTCACCAAAACGGGCATCATGCCCGAACACTTCTTGCTCGTTCCCTGCGAAAAGGGTCAGCCGTGTGTCTGGAACGAGACCAAGTACTGGAATGCACTCGACCCTAACGAAGAACAGCGGATCGCGGACGCAGAAAAAGCAATCGAGCAGAAATCGAAAGACAGCGACTCGACTAAGCGATCTACTACAAGCGGGATTCGTAGGCGTGACTCGTCTGGAAAATGGCACGTCATCGCTGATTCGGCAACTACGGACGACCTGATCAACCATGACGAAGGGGAACTCAAGAAGCAGGATGCCAAGGATAAAGCTGTCCCTCATGAAGTATATGTCACCCAGCGAATCATGAATGAACGCCTACCGCCAGGCGTTACTCGAATTCTGAACCGCGCATACCTCCTTCGTCCGGAGGCCATCGAGTCCGTATTCTATATGTTCCGCATAACAGGCGACAACTACTGGCGAGAAAAGGGCTGGGAGATGTTCCAAGCTGTGTCCAAGCACACCAGCACCGAAATCGCACATTCTGCTATCAACGATGTCACCCTTGAAAAGTCCAAGAAGCGGGATACCATGGAGTCATTCTGGCTTGCCGAGACGCTGAAATACTTCTATCTTCTCTTTGCTGACCCGAGCGTGGTCAGTCTTGACGACTATGTTCTGTAAGTGCTCGCCAGCAACTCTTGCTAGAGGCATAACTGACTCTTCTCGTAGCAACACCGAAGCTCATCCCTTGAAACGTCCGGCCTATTAACAGCCTTCCCTTTTTCTTTTAAGGGTATATATTTCCCTTCATATGAATTCTTTTTTGATGTAGAAATATCGATACCATCTTCAAAGTACATGCCATTTTCTTTCCAGTGGCTGGCTTGCTACGCCTGGTTATGTTTCTTCTTCGTCCATTACCGTTATTGCACCAATTTAATGTTTGACTTAATGTGTCCATATATGGCTGGAAGACTTGCCAAATGGAAGCGATCACGAATCATAATGAGCGTGGTGGCTCTGATACCCGATCTACGAGGAAAGCATCGAGGAAATGACAATTGAAGTAGCCGTAATGAGCCTGAACTATCAGCCTCTTCATACCCCTGAAGCGGAAGCCTTCTCATCAGAAGCCGTACATTGTAGGATATCCTGCGCTCTGCATACCATGAAGTACAGTAAAGCACTCCGGCAAAGATAGCGGTGGATCGCCGCAAATCCCCCGCCGCCCGCCTTGTTCGCTTTGCCTTGGCCACATTCGTCGTCATCAACATTATCGCTTGGTGCCCCGTTTCCCCTCGTGGTTTCCAGCCTCCTCGCACGGAGCAGCCCTCCCAACCAGAGGTTTCCGGGCACGAGACGGGATGAGTGCAGAGAGACGACTAGTCCGACGACGACGACGATCGAGCTGTGGGAAATGGAGTTTGAGGTCTCCCTGGAGAACGAGCAGCAGTTCTGGGACGGTGAGTTTGTTTGTGTTGGCTGGTTGGTCGATAACCAGAGATTCTACCTATTTCCTCTTGCTTTACTTTGCTCTCCTTATCGCAGGGAGTTGTTCAGTCGTATCTAACGTGTTTGTTTTGGTAGAACTCCAAGAGATTGTTTCCACTCCTTGCGGCACCGAGGACCTCATCGATAATGCGCTCCGGTCTTATTTGAGTTTGGCGACCAAGTACAAAGGTGGGAGACTGTTCTTTGATCTTGACGGCAGCATGGATCGATTGAAAACGAGCTTCCATGAGGAGGGCTGACTTGACTTTGGCCATCGCAGATGAATACCTCAACTCGCCGTTCGAGGTCTCGCGCTGCTCGTATAAATTACTCGCATCGAGTATCTTTACCGCCCATGCGGACTACGTTCGAAGACAGATGATATATGGCTTATTACAGGTATGCGCTGGATGATTTCCAAGGGCTTCATGTCCCTTTGTTCTGTCTTATAATCGGGCCTGCTGACGGTTTACGACGTTTACAGGAGGATGATCCGGACACGCTACATCTGATCGTTTCGTTCCTTCTGTTCGATGGCCGGCAGCATGAGGAGTCCTTTCGCATGATGAATGAGGAGGGTTCATTCCCGCGATTGCTGGAGCTCTTGCAAGTCTACAAAATAAAGGATGGGGAGAATCAGGCTGCGCTTCATCGCATGCTGATGGACTTGCTGTATGAAATGTCGAGAATCCAGCGGATAAGAATTGAGGATCTTGGTGGGTGTTCCAGGCGGCTTCGCTGTTTGGAGCAGTCGGCTAATAGGCAACGCATTCTGGGTAGTGCTTGTCGACGATGACTTTATCAAGGGACTTTTTGAGATTATCGAAGATCTCTCCTACGATGCCAGCGACCCTTACCATTATCCTGTGATTCGCGTTTTGGTGAGAATTTGCTTGATCTGGCCCTGCAGATTTGGAGTATCTTACTGACCCGAACGGTAGTTGGTTTTTAACGAGCAGTTCATGATTTCAGCGCATGATCCTGTGGACGATAAATCGTCGACTCCATTGACCAACAAGGTCATCAAGGTCTTGGCCATGCATGGGAATCTCTATAAGACATTCGGCGAGAACATCATTCTCCTCATCAACAGAGAAGGTACCAACCTCCGAGATACTCGTCTGGCATGACAAATTTCTAACGACTCCTAGCGGAAACATCTCTTCAGCTTCTCACGCTCAAGCTTCTGTACCTCATATTTACAACCCCTAGCACCTATGAATACTTCTACACCAATGATCTTCATGTCCTGGTTGACATTCTTATTCGGAATCTTCTGGACTTGCCTGAAGAGGCGGCCGCCCTACGCCATACATACCTCCGCGTCCTCTACCCGTTGCTCGCTCATACGCAGTTGAAATATCCTCCCCACTACAAGCGCGAAGAACTCAAGAAAGTGCTCAATATTCTGGGCCGGGGCCAGCTATCGAGCAGTGAGGGCGACCTGGAGAGGATATTGCACTTTGAGGAAGTCGACGAAACCACGAGGAGATTAGTCCTCCGGTGCGCGACAGTCGAGTGGTTGCGAGATGAAGAAGCTGAGTCACATAGAGAGAGCGTTGCCTCGTTTGACTCCGCGACCGATGCCGTCCAGACGGACGCGGAGTCTGGTACTCCCACCAGCACGGAAGGCAGTTCGCCTGGGGCTCTATCACCCACCCGGCTTGGTGGATCGGACTCTCCCAAGCCAGACGCGCATCGCAAGCCGAGCGCGGTGCAGCGCCTCGGAATGCAGTTGGAGCCAGCTTCATGCTCGACTATCAGCGTGCAGGAAGTTGCCAGCCAGCACGAGAAACCCGGTGTCATCACCCCTAGTCGCAATGACGCACATCCCACAGAGAATGCTTCAACTGCAGACGCTATCAGGACGACCATCAAACCCAAAATCAAGCCAGAGCCCCCCAAATCCCGACGCCGGCGCGGGAGACGCATCGCCGAGGAGGAAGACAATCCCGATAAAATCCTCGAGGACGCAGCATCAGCGGCATCGAGTCCAGTCATGGCTTCCACATCTGTCGCTCCTCCAGTCGATCGCAGAAACTCTACAAGCATGTCCGGTCTTGCTCCCCCGGTCCCCGCACACTTGCGTCGCTCTGCATCGAATCCTCCACCGGCCCTGCCGCCCCCTCGACGTTCGACTCACCCGGCCGTTCACGCCCATCCTCTTTCTGGCAACTGCAGCCCTGTAAACAGCAGTCCTCTGAACGTTCCCTCCGTCGGCAAACACGGCCAGAAACCTGAGCCACCGAGGGCACGCCGCTGGGCGAGAGGAAAGCACGCACATGGTGACTCCGCGGACAGGTCCGGGAAAGATTTGCCAATGAACGGTGAAATTTTACCCGAGTCGTCGGCTGAATCGAACAGTGCTGAACGTGTTTGTGAGACAGTGAGTGTTGAGGAGGCAGTTCAAAAGGTGTCGTTGGAGTCTTGATCATTTTGAGCAACGAATCTACGTACAAAGCATACTCTTTTGCATCGCGTGTCAGTGCACAGAGATACCTTTTTCGTTTTTGTTATCCATACACATACCCATTAAGCAGAGGAGGCTGCCGTCTAGGCTAGCCAAGGTTTCGACGATCAGTACCATTCAATTTAGCATTCCATAACTCATCAAATGACTCTGCTATTCAGTATGTACCAGAAATGTACATGACAAGAAAGGAGAGAAGTATCATAATCGCAGACCAAAGCATTAATCAGATTGAACCATGAACTCATCAAGTCAATACCCAACCCCACGCCATGCGCATGCAACGCTATGCAAAGCCATGCAAGGTGCCCATGCAGCGCAACGCAACACAACGCAACGCAGATAGAAACGCCATCAGCCAGTCCTCCCGCAAGAGCAAAGCAACATAGCACAGCGCAGCGCAGCGTAGAACGCTGGAAGCTCGACTGACCCCTTCCCTTACTCCCGCTCCCGCTCCCACTCACGCTCCCACTCACTATTCTGGATGCCCCAGAACCGCTCCGCGCCAAACGTCCACGCATTATCCGCCTTCCACAAGTCATCGAACGCAGTGAAAAGGACAAAGTCTGGGTCGTCCGCAAACGCCCGCCTCAGACTCGCAATGGCTTTCTTCTGGTTCTCCGGCGACGGCACCGCTTGCCCATTCCGCTGGCCCGCATGAGGCCACCCAGACTCAGTGATGACCGTTTTCTTCCCGCCCGCCGCGGCGGAGATGCGGCGCGCCTTGTCGATCGCGTACTCACCCGCGTTCTCAGGCAGCTGGTTGTTGTCGAAGAAGGCGTGGCAGTTGGCGGCGCAGTAGTCGGACGCGGCGCAGAGTTCCGGGTGCTGCAGCATCACCGAGAAGGTGTCGACCGTTACCACGGGGCCCTGGTACCCTGCGTCGCGGAGGATGGTGCGGGCGGTGTTGACGGCGCTGGCGACGTCGCTGGGGTTGTTCTGGCCCTTGTTGACGAGCTCGTTGCCGATGCCGATGGTGTGGAAGACGGACCAGTCCCCGTCTGCGGCGTCGCGGATGTAGTGCAGGCTGTCGGGGAAGTTTTGGAGGTCGAACACGCCTGCGAAGACTTTCAGGCCGTGCTGTCTGGCTGCTTGGGTGACGAGCTTGGTCTGGTCGCAGTCGATGCCGTAGATGCGGATGAAGGCGTGGTGGCGCAGGCGCTCGATGTCCTGGTTTATCTGATCCAAGGTCTTGCAGGTGCCGTAGCTAGTGTAAGGCGAATAGGAGATGCCGAAGCGAGGGTTTGAGTTTGTGTTCAGGTTGGGCACTTCGCTGGGGAGATTGGGGAGGAGATTGTCGGGGAGGATATCGCCGGTGTTTGGGAGCAGAGGCAGCTCGGTGGGCGACTGTCTCGATGTCAGTTGTAATTTCAGGCAGGTTATACATTGGATCAATTGCAGGTAACACGTACGTTCTCGAAGGTCGTCGTAGGGGTCTGGTGGGTATGCTCAATACTGATTGTGTGGCCAGCGTGATCGACCCAAACGATAACTTGCTCCTTGGGATTGATGTCGTGCTCGGCATTGCGACGATGGCCAACTGATATGGTAACTACTAGTCAGCGATGTCTTCGACGCTCAAAGGTGTGTTGTTTTGAAAATATCTTACCATGAGGGTGCGCTGCGGACTGGTAGGCCAACAACAGGGCCAGAAGGTTGACCTTGAATCTCATTGCGATGGTTAATCACAGTCCTCACGTTGAATCTCCCTCAGCACAATCCAAGAAACAGTAGAACTGAACAGAATGATCTAGCCAGGAAGACTAATGAAGGAGTAGAGATTGTGAGGGCAGGCCCAGACTGTGGAC